CGTATGGGCATTTTTACCTTTAAGCCAACTTTTCTAACTTTTTCTAAAAGTATGTACCATCTTTTGTGTCAAATTCTTGCATTTGGGCTGTTACCAAGCAAATGAAATCAGTATCAAAATGCATTTTTGATAACGCAATGCAGAGGAAACACAGAAGCGGCATTAGAAGTGGCATTTAGATGTATTTACACACTGTTTAATGCAGCTCTGAGGGACATGGAATACTTTAACCTGCATTTACAAATGCATAAATAATTTTTTTATATTTTAAACATAAAACATTGAAAACTGATGTTTGAAATTATTTTAAAAATGAAAAGGTACCTTAAATGTGAAATTAAAACCGTCAGTAGGTAGCAGCAAGTCACTGTTAAGCGAGTCATTGCGATTGAACCAAATCATTTAAATGGTTGATTCATTCAGGAACAAAACACTTTAGTGTTGCTCAGAGACGCAAAACAGCGCTGTGGCTGTGTTTGGAATGATTTTTGTTGGAGAAATAGAGCAAAAACAGGAAATATGGTGTCTAAAACGTAAGTCTTTTAATATTAACTACTTGTTTATTGAACTGTTGTATAAAATCAATATCACATTTGTAATCATGCTGACTTTTGGAGAAAAAAACGGCACTCTTCGAGTGAAATTAATTATATGAAATGATATAAGTATATACATTTTCTGCCCCATATCTTGAATTATGTGATCATTCTAAATGCATTTTAATAGACTGATTCATGCAGTGAAAGAACGCACTATAAACGCACTCACTAGTCTAACCTACTAGACTTCATCATCTAATGTATGCGTGCACTCTGTAGGTGTTTTGTTTTGCTTTTCGTGAGATACTCGATAATATCAAATCGTACATCGCAGACCATACATCACACACCCCTATACTGTTTAGATTTTTATAATGCATTGTCGTCTTATCGATCCACCAGTTCACATTTAAAGCTCTGCGTGTTTGCAGGGTAAAAACATGGGTCGATTTTTGCATTGATCTGAACTCTGAACAAAACAACAGTTTTTTTTTTGAAAATGCTCATTCATTCTCTGCCAGCAGGTGGAGCGTTTGGTAGAAATGTAACTGTTTCTCCGGTAACGCTATACACAAAGCAGCGCAGCAGCTGACTTTGAACATGCAGCGCTCCTTTATTTAATGAGATCATAGCCTTTTAAAGTTTAATCGTCACGTTCAGCCATATCGCAATTCTGGTCTTTCCGTCCCCAAATTTAAGACCTCTTGAAATCATAATTAAGACTTAAAATGTAAAGCTTTTTAAGGCTTTAAATTTGATACAACTAGATTTAAGGCTTTTTAATACTTTTTTTTAAGACCCGCTGAAACCCTGAGCTCTATCATAATCTTTTTTTGTTTTTGTTTTAGGCAATGAATAAATATGGAGTTCGTTACCCTGGACCTGAGAGTGCAGCACGTCGTTCTAAACTCAGTGGCCCTGAACTTCTTTGTCAAATCAAGAAGATGGTTCAGATTGCAACTTTAACACCAGATATGGAGCCATTTTCTGGGTTTCCTTGGGCCTCTCAGTTACCTCCGCGCCAAATAACTGCTGATATCGGCCCGTTTAAGACCTGCGCAGTGGTATCGTCTGCAGGTTCTCTCAAAAACTCTGGATTAGGAAAGGAAATAGGTAATACCTAAATTTATAACATAAGCAGGACCTACAGTTGTGGTCAGAATTATTGGCACCCTTGGTAAATATGATCAAAGAAGGCTGTGAAAATATGATTTCTAACAGAGTCAGTCACTTATTGATTTTTTTTATCTGTTGGTATTTGATAGAATCAAAGATGCCATGTATCTAAACAAGATGTCCAGGACCTCCAGCAGAAATATAGGCCCACAACATTAAAAATACAGCAGTATATTTCATTGTACACATCGGGTACTTTTTTCCCCTGTGTGCACCAAACCCATCTTGAGTGTTTGTTGCTAAAAAGCAATTTTTTTAGTTACAACTGACTATAGAAGCCAGTCCTATTTGAAGTTCCAGTCGTGTCTGACAACAGAATATGCTGGGGATTGTTTTTGGATAAGCTAGTATAATTTTTCTTGAAACCCTCCCAAACAACACGTGGTGTAGGTGCTGTTTGATAATTTTTTCTAAGGTTTTCTGACCCTGAGGCTCAATTCTCCAGCCGTGGTCCTTTGAGAGTCTTTAGCCACTCAAACTCTCCTCCTCACCATGCAT